CACGACTCTGGACGACTCTGACTCCGACTCCGACTCTGACTCCGACTCTGACTTCGACTCCGCACCCCTCGTAAGAAGTAACTGCTCGCCCCTGCACTTGGAGTATGGATATCGTGCAAACGTGTATGGATATCCTGGAGTATGGATATGGATATCCACCGACAGAGCAGACATACAGACATGCTGTAAACGCCATTACACTGCCAATACCATGGCAAATCAAATGGCTATCTATGGTTTTTGATCATCGTTCTACATTTTCCAAAATCTTGAACTGAATGTTGGCAATTTCTCGTGACTACTTCACGACCATGACGCATGCATTTCTGAAATTGATCTTTTTTCAACCAGCCACGTACTCGTAAGTCGTATGATAAAATGAATGTCACCATCGTGTTCTACGCCCAAAAGTACCCGTAAAACATGTGTCATGCATGGGCTGTGAATAGGTACCAGTTTTAATTTTCGGAGTTATGTGCTTACCTGATTGACCTGACTTTGACCCTGGCCAGTGGCCTATGTTTGACTGACCCCTACATTGATCTGACACTTTTTTAGCACTTATATGAAGGGTTGTGACAGTTGTGACAGTTGTGACAGATTGTTTAGGACCAACTGATGACTGAATTTATTTAGGACCAACTGATGACGATATAATCGAAACGCGAAACGCGAGGCACCGATTGCGAGGTTCTAAAGTCCATGCTACTGAAAGCCCGATTTCAAATGTTTGACCTGACCTTGACCCGACCTGTGACCTCGAAATTCAGCTTTAAAGTATTCATGTGAATCGTCTCGTCCCGTTCTTCTTTCTTTTGCCGCGCCTCGTGCGTTTCGCTGCGCCTATTTGTTCGCGAGTTATCGGCTGGGGGCGTTGAACGCCCCCCCCCCCCCGGCAAACGGCGGATGGGGAATTACCCTAGCAACTGCCGGGTTAATCTGACGCATGTTTTGTCATTTGATCGTCATTTTATTTCTTACTTTTTTGCCCAATCTAAAAAAAAATCATAAATACTCTTTCTCCAAATTTTTGACCCTTTATGACCGATAGTAAGACACTGTGCGTCACTACGTTGATATTTCTCGCCCTAAAGCATAACAACAATATCCATTCAGTAATAGCAGTATTCAAAACATGTTCAAAATGCCTCGCGATATCGATAACATAACGAAAGACATAGGCGACTTATAACATACTTGCAATGATGACGTCACACACGCGTGACGTGACGTGACCTCGTCATTTCTGAGTTACTGTATGATGCACGAAAGACACTGGTATACCTATGCAAAGTTTCATCGCAGTCGGTCTACGCATTAACAAGTTATGGGCAAAACATTTTTTCGCGTTGACCCCCGGCCATCCGTGAGGCCGTTTCCAACCATAGTGCGCGGTAGCGACGTCAGCGGCGCGGGACGCCTTCTCACTCTTCTATTGTTTTTTTAAGCTATATATTTTTTGAAAATGATGTCTTAGGTGTAGTATTTCAGTGAAATATGATGTCCTCTAAAATTTACGGTATAAATTAGTTACAAGAAGCCTAATGTTTTGTCTCACATTATAGAATTGTTGGGTGGACTCATGAAATTGGGGCAGTGCATGTCCTGTATTTTACATTATTTGGATGTTTTAGCCTCTGCTTGTGTCTCACTCACCCAATTGTTGCTACAACTTTTATTTGTAGCATTTAAATTTTTAAGGGCAACTAGGCTATTGACTTGTTCCAAGTTAAGATTGAAAAGTCGCAGTGCATGTTCGTGTTTGCCTTATCTAAATAGTAGGTATGTAAGCTTGGCTTGTAATTGCTTCGCCCATTTTTGCTACATATTTAATGATGCTTATTTTAAGTGTAACAAAAGCAAGTTGCTGAATGGTGTAAGCCATATTTACATTATGCGTGATCTTCCAGAAAATTATGTGTCTAATGTACGTCAGTCCAGGGAATGCTGGATAGTTAATGTTCAGGATTGTCCATGCCAATGTTAATTTTAGAGGCCAGTTTTATCAACACAAATAGCTGCCTGCTGGATTTTTTTGCCTAAAGACTGCTTCACATATGGAGCGTTAACATGATGGGCACGTAAACGGATAGGGCTGTACCGTTCATGCTCTGTATGTGAAGTAACTTTTAGTCAAAAAAAAGTCCAGCTGCCACCTATTTTTCTGTTGGTACAACTGGCCTCAAATCTACTTTTTTGGCAGAATTTATATAACTGCATGAGATGACAGTTGTTGGTGCACCTGGTGGCATTCAGTGGAAATTTAAGTGACATTAAGTATTTAATTTTTTATTGAATATATTCTAAAATTAATAGTTGCTGAACAAGTAGAATAATAACACATATAGTTTCCTAATTTATTGTTCACAAATGTCCTAATTATTGTGTTCTGTTGTTTGCTGCAGGTCAACCAAGGTTCAAACACTGGTCGTTGCGGGGATCGGCTTCAGAGGGTCAAGGGTGGCGTCTTGAATCGCTGTTCAGTCGACAGGCAGCTGTACGACAACGCCATCCCTGTCAACCAGAGCGTCGACCGAAGTAGGGCGGCGTTGCGCGGACCTGGCCGCACCCGACCAACCGGTGGAGTACCTGACGGGCTGGGCGGAGACTACCTACATCACGACCTTTTGAACTTTGATCTCGTGGCGAGAAACAATATGACGTAAGGAAGTGTGTATGTGGCTGGCGGGGCCGAGGGTGAAATGCGCCACGTGTTTATCCTGCCGGATGACGACAGCGTCACCAACCTGTCAAAGAACGAGCTGGTGCAGCGCGTGATGACTGCCATCTCGTCCCTAGAACCGGAGTAGAAAAACGTGCGCATAGCCCAAATGAAGCGAACCAAAACACAGACAGGACTGATAGCTTTTCGGTCGAGAATGTTCTGAAGATGCTCATCAGTAGACCAATTGGTGACCGCTTTCGGTGGTAATATGGGATCTTGTGGTGTTCCAAAGCGACCTGCTCTGGGTGTGGACATAAGTGGCTCAACCTGACAGGATTGATGTTTTAGGTAGCCGTGCTAATCATAAACCCCATATTGAGTGTATATGTACAAATTTTGTTTATATTTATTTCATGTATTTGATTCGAAACTGAAAATTGCTCTTTGTAATTAGGCAACATCGAGACGTTGAGGTCATTCTCCAGACGTTTATTTGTTTTTTCTTACCTGTCCACGGTATGTCTTATTGGTTAGGTCTCAGTTTCAAATATTATTAACTGCATGTTTTGCAAATACGTAGCCATATTGAATAAGAGACGTCCTAAAAGTGAGTATTGCTTTGCATGGGATGTGAGCATCAACGACAGGGCTTTGTGATGGCAAATGTGTGGCAATTGCAGGGATCGTAGTGAAATGTGTTATGAATATCATCGTATTATTTGCGACTGCAAATACATCCGTGTATATTTTCATTCAAAGTGTGCAATTTGTGCAACGGGCTTGAGTATATTGTTCGGCGAAATATCTCTTACTGTACTCCACAGAAATGGGACGGGATACAGATGCGTAGAAACACATTCATGAACACGTGAAAGACGATAAGTAAACTTTTTTTTTACTCAAAATCAATGCTACAAAGCAGGGATGTGGAGCCGTGAAAATGGCAGACGGCTTCGGCTCCGGAGGGGAAAATCGGCTCCGGCTCCGAGTAAAATGGTCGGGCTTCGGTTCCGGCTCCGACTCAGTACAACCCCTATACAAAGGTCAGCACGGCTCCCTTCACGCATTCCCTCGAAGGCTTGCGGCTTTGAGCAGGGAGCCAGGGTGAGTGCTGAAAATCCCTGGTCTACCGTGGGAATAAGGTCTAGAAAAAAATTACACGATCCTGTGCTGATAATATCTTCATGAATTTATTGAATTTGCATTATTTGCACACAAGAAACATTCCATAAATCGATTTGAAGAGTGAAGTACGTCTGCAGAAAGTCAGTTCGCAGAATCAATATATTGATAAACCAGCTGATTTCAGAATCAAAATAATGATTAGCCAGCTGTTTGCGGAATCAAAACATTGATTCTCGCCGGGATTAGCCGCCGTGATGAATCAATTTCTTGATTATTTTCAAGACGCTTTCCTAAACTAACCAAAGAGGTTAGGGCTATTGTTTCGTGCCTGGCGGGTAGCTTCAACGTTGTTCTTCATTTTGTGAAGAAACTATCTTGAAATTATAGCCGGTTGCTGAAGAATTGACGTTTCTGTGATGAGCGCTGTTCGGCAGCCGGCTATTTTGTGTGCAGGGTATGACGTATTTCACGAGCCGACGTCACAGGCGGTGACGTCGGCTCGCGCGCGAGCCGAGCGCCAACGACAAACTAACGGGAACCCTCGGACACCCTCGGGGCATAAACCGCGGAGTAGCATATTGAGCGAGTCTTATACGGAAAATTCATATATTTTCGTTTCTCAAATGATAATCAGGGTGTCTCTTACCTTTTTACATATCATTTAGGCTTACCTAACACTACAGTTGCCAAATATCTGCAATTTATTCAAGCGAAGGTATTTTCAGTAATTATCAATGGTATAGACCGAAATCTTTTGAATAAAAACTCCAACCAACAGAAATAAAAATAACTTAATTTATTCCAACCATTTCCTCCAAATAAACAACATAAAAACTCACTTTTACCCACATCATTCATAATAAAGCTTACTAACACGCCGCTTTCGACAATTGCGGCGTCGAGTGGCGCGCTGCTAGCGCTCTTTTTCGATCGCAGAGACCCTGCACGCGCGCGAGCACACTACGTCACGTCCGGGGGGCACAGGTACATGAAAAATCGCAGTGACGTAACACTTTTCTCGCTTCTCATTGGTCAATAGCCCGTTGCCGGGGTAACGTGCACGTATGTGAGCGCGGGCAAGAGTACTAGCCGGCCGCCGATCAGGGCTATGGTCTGCACGTATGCCCATATATGGTCAAAGCTCCGCCCACTAGAATCAATATTTTGATGCCTCCATATTTTGATTCCCGCCGCCTAGTTTGCCCAACTGATCTTCCTTCCAATGAGGAGGGAAAGGGAGCCATTTATCACAATTTCTTCAATATGGATCCTCATAAATGTGACTTATACCAGTACCTCCTCAGGCTATTGTTCCATCCATTTGTGCTGCAGATGGCTTTCATATGGTCTTAGTCTGACAAAGCTAGGTGCTAAGAAAGAACAGCTTTGAAGTGCAATAGTTATTGATGCACATGTCTCTGAAGATAACTTCCAACAAGGCCCTAAATACACTTCCAATACGCCTGAGATGATTTCAGTCAAATTTAAGCGCAGGTAGGCTATCCAATGTTCAATGCATGTGTTAAGTGCTTTGAGGCACCTTAGGCTTAGCTTCGTTCTTTCTTAGAGTTGTCGAACTATAGTCTCCAGTGCTCCCCTCGCCTATATCAGTTGTCTACCCCTGTACTCTTGACTCCCTCTGTCTTTCATTCATCCAGGTTACGCCAATGTTCTGCGCATACAGTTGCTGCTTTTTGGTGCGCACACACCCCAGGCACTCCACCTCGTCAACGCCTGAGAAGTTGGTGAAAGTGCCTCCTGCCAGACTTGCTGGATGGCTACTACCTGCACTTGCTAGCTGAACGGAAGCTCTTCCAACTAGCTGGCATGGCTATCGGCGGCTTACGCGTGGGACGCTGCAGACGCAATCATCGCCAGCCTCACACATGTCGAAAATCAGGCAGACTACATCAGCTGCTCACTGATATGGGCCAAAGAAGGTATGGCGTGGCAGAGGCTTGTCTGCTCACCGCGTGTGCAATACAGAGATATAAGCTCCTAGATAATTAAACAAGTTCTGTGCACTGCTTTCTCAGGTATTTATTTGCTTGCTAGATATGTGATTTGAGTTTCATCATGGACGTTTGCAATCTTGTGTACCGATGAAACCAAGTCTTAGCATAAAAGTTCGCCATTGTGTGCCTTTGTCGTTTGTATTGCAGGTAACTATGCTTTGTGGTTTCTGAGTTCTGAACACATTATCCTCCACCAGGCTCGTTGCTGGCGGTGGTTCTGGAGACAACGGTTCGATCCATCTGTAGGACGTCACTCGGCAAGAAGTTGTGGAGTGTGATGGTCATCCACGCGGCGCGCGTATCCAGTCACGTTGTCCAGAAACGATCACATTATCTCCAGGTCAGTAACTGTGTGAAGCAACGTTTCCACTGCTCAGTCAGCTGTGTCCCGCCACGTCACCAGGTCAGTGACGTGCTTACAATTTTGTGACACGTCGCCGCGTCCCTAGGTGAGCGGCTTGACGGCTGTGCGACAGGAAACGTTATGGGCCATGAGTCGTGGTCGCCGTGGCTAGTATTTTACGACCGTGGTGAACAATGTGACGGTCGCCGTGACTGGTTTTGTGACGGCTGCCGTGACTGTTACATAACGGCCGTCGGGGCTGAAACGTGACGGTCGTCGTGAGACGTGACGTGCTGCGACTCGCTGTGTTACAGGTCACTCCGTGACTTGCCGGCGCTCGAGCTGACGGTGTCGCCCGAACGAAGGTTTCACGGCGACAAGTGCTGCCACCGCCTGAGACCATCCGACTCCGAAATGCTGATTGCCGGGCACGAACAAGAGGCTACAGGCATTTGGGTGCAACACCTGCTCCGAGTGCCCTGTTCTGAGGCGTCATCCGAAGAAGGCCGCATAGTGCACTTAAGGCTGTGTTCGGGTGTAGTGCACTGCACTGTCGGATAGGATTAAATGGCAGGCCCGTCATAAGATCTCAGTACGAAATTAAGATAGTCAGAGCCGACGTGATCGGTGGATGGTGTGCCAGGGTTGATTGAGCGTCCATGAGCGTGAGACACCTGGATCTGTGAAGGATACGCCGATACGTGTCCCGGATTCGACCCCCCTCTCCCTCCGTCTCAACGGTGTTGGCTGAGATTGGGGTATTTTTACGGACTCGCCAATGTCCTGCAATTTCTGTTATGTAATTTGACGATCATGCCGTGGTCTCATTCTGTCTCGATATGCTAATAAATGATAAATGTAACAGAGGTTGGAAGTAAGGTGTGAGTGGCTGTAACCGGCAGGTTTTGGCGAGCGTGATATTTGTATCGTGAGGGCGCTAGCAGCTGCAATCAATCGCGCGTTTTTGCTGAGCATCCGTGAGCGAGAAAATGCCTTTTCTGGAACCTAGCAGTTCAGCGTGAAATCTGTGTATCTTTGGATTATGTTATCATAACGTAATGTATTTTTGGTGTCCACTGCAGCTTCGGAACATAAATATGGAGATTGGCTGTTTGCTGAAGCAAGGGTAAGCAATCCGTGCCAAGAATAATGTGAATTTAAGTGTGTATTTCGCTGTGTTTTCCAATTGTGTTACACAAAACACAGAAATGCGTCAACTACTGATAACACCCGGCTACAAATACTAAAATGCTTGCAATGCTATACAAGAATAGATATTGTATATATCCTGGCGGCCGACTGACGCGAAATGGCTACGATCGACTGCACGGACGTTGCTGGTGACTGGCGGACCAGTGAAAACAGGAAAGAAGATGAATAGCTCTAGCTCTCGTCTGCGCGCGGAAGGGCGCTGATTGGCGTGGCTCACAGACTCCATTGGCTCATCAGACTGTTATTGGTTGTCTCCCTCCCCTCCCACAGGCGTAGCCAGGTAGCTTAGTTGTGCGCGGAAGCGAGCGGCCAGAGCGGCGCTAGGTGTCGCCCTCCCAGCGACCGGGCAGTGCAGCTGGACGTGCCGCGGATGGTCCGCCTCTGATCTCGGCACACTCGGCAGAGTGCAGCCGGACACTCCATAGAGTTGCATAGCGTCGATAGGCCGTATGGTTTCGCTATCGTAATTATAAAAGGGTAAGTAGAAGGTTGAAGCAGGATAGATTTCTATCTTCTTCGAGCTTTGTTACACATAATAAGCATTGGCCGTTTCTTTACATATAATATCGCAAAGCACAGCTTTATGCGCTGGCTACGCTGGCTACGATATGTGCGCGTCGGTTGCGGCAGTAATCATCGAAGAAATATATGATTTATGAACGTTTCTTGATCATAGAATGATAAAACATTGCAATGTTTGCCTGTTGTGAAGAAAACTCCTATACTGCCGCTCTATCGTCCGGAATTATTCGTGTTCGATTACGGCGATTCCGCCGCTCTATCAGCTGATTTTTGTTTCCGAGTCACGTGACCAACCGGTGTCTCCCTGCACATGGCCTTGCGCAGCACGGCGCGGTGTCGCGGTTTTCCGTTTTTTTAAAAATCGATTTTGGAAATCTCATTACAATTAGTGAATAAGTAAGTTTTACATCATTTGTTAGTAGCTTTGCATTTACTTTGAACAAAAGCCTGCGGTCATGCTAGGCTAGCCGCCTCGGTAGGGCCCATGCAATCAAGATTACTTTTCTACTCCATAACAGCCAATAACAGCCAACATTTTTGGGATTTTAACAAAAGCCTTATGATGCTGCATGATAAGAATGTTTTTTGTATCCTCTAATTTGACATAAGAGTCCTTCTAATTAATTTCGCAAAGTGACGCTCATGCACCGTCATGGAAATGGAATGTGAATGGGTAGTAGTAAGGGTAAAGAGATACCATACTCGTATTAAAGGGACCCTCCCACCTTAACATTAGTTTTGAGTTGAGATAGCCAAGTTTGCGGCCAGGCTCAGAAACCACCATTTATCCTGGTCGCAACCCCCGCAGCTTTATGGTGTTCCAGAAATTTCTTCCCTTTACTTGCAGGGTGGGACCAGCGTGGTCCCTATCTCTTAACCATTACGGGAATCTGATGACGTCATCAGGCTTTCGAACGTCCGTTAAATGTTTGACTAAAACGTTTTGTAGCACGCGGTGGTATATGCTGCTTTGCGCGCAACAATTGCCGCACTTTCAAATAAAGTCGCTAGGAACAGCGGAGATCCCAAAAAGTAAACAAAAGTAAAAGTCTAATATCTTGAAAACCGGTGAATATTTTTCGATGAAATTTGGTAGATATTCGTTTTTGCTCTTTCTGAACCGAGCGACATCACTTTCATGCCAATTCATTAACTTTTTTGAAGGTGGGAGGGTCCCTTTAAGGTAGGCGTCACACTTGTTTTTTCAACCAAGGACACCACACCAAGGGGTCCTTGGTGTGAAGTTTTCAGGGTGGCTGGTAATACATCCCTCAAGATATTATCAGCTTTGTTGAAAAAATAATGGCTACCTACTACACAGTGCAATGAGCCCTGACTTCTCAAAGCAATTCCACTACAAGACTCAATTCAAGTTGGGCAAAGTAGACCTTTGGAATCAAAATATGGAGGCATCAAAAGATTGATTCCTTATGACCATATTTGGGCATAAATGCAGACCATTTCTAATCATATATGATCTTGTTGATTTTTATATGATCTTGAACAGAAATGCTGGAACTATCTACTAAGCAAAATAATATTGCTCCTATCATAACAGTTTGAATTATATAGGTAGCAAAAGGCAATCAACGAATTGATTCACTGTGAACAGATAATCATAATATTGATTCCCCATTCAGCTGGCTAATCAATTTTTTGAGTCACATGTAATGTAAACAGATATGCAGCAATGGTTTCCAAGAAAACAGCATTTATTTTGCTATCATTTGCATTTAGTAGCATTCTCATCACCACAACATATGCTATAGCCTTGTTGCTCTTTACCTTCACTACATTTGGTAACAATTAACAATTTTTTAAATGTCAAGAATACAAAAACAGAAGTAACAGGTGAAACCCTTACAATAAACATAATTGCATAATAACAACAAAAGGTAAGGGCTTAAAAACTTAAATTTATTATTTTAAACAAATACCTATTGATGTGTATGAGATTCATGATACAAAAACAGCATACACTGTGATATTCTCAAAACAGCTTTGACGTGATGGAGAGTGGCTGTCTTTTTACCATTTACAAGGCCAAAGTGAAAATTTCTTGGTTTGGATTGGAGGTGACACTTTTTACATGCCTTCTACATTTTTCTACCTATTTGGTAGAAATACTTGTTCAATACTTGTTAAGCACCCCGTACCAACTCATAGCGCGATAGTTTAAGTTAAAGTTTAAAAAGAAAAGGAGGAGCCGTTGCAAAGGCAATTCCTCAAAACCGTCAAGTTCAAGTTCATTTAAACACAAATCTCACCATCATGGGCCCTTTTTCAACCGTAATGATACATTTGAAGTTAAAAGTGTGTCAAAATGAATCATAAGATTGATTCCATGCCCATTGCCCATATATAGTCATGGCTTCTCTTACCAGAATCAAATTATTGATGCCTCCATACCTATTTTGATTCAAAAATCTAGTTTGCCCAACTGGACTGGCAATTCCTTATTAACATACATTAGATATGTATCTTAGATCCTGTATTGACAGTGGCACTTTCTGTTGCCACCTATAGAGTTTATCAGAGTGTAATGCACATTTCCAATAAACAGTGACAGTGACTGAATTTTGTTACAGGTGAGAATATCATACAGTACAAGATTAGGTATACCAGTATAACGCCTTTTGGGGCGACTAACGGAGCGAGCGAGAGGGTGGGTCTTGCACGTGCGAAATTGCGAGGGGGTACCTCCAACTGACTTGTGCATGGCACCCTACTAACCGGTCTCTAGCGATGTGCCAAATTTGGGCACAATCGGCCCAGCCGTTCTCGAGATCTGGAAGCGGCACCCTGCACGTGCGCACGTGCAAAATGGGTCCCAACTGACTTGTGCACGGCACCCTACTAACCGGTCCCTAACTGTGTACCAAATTTGAGCGCAATCGGTCGAGCCGTTCTCGAGATCTGGAAACGACCCCTGCACGTGCGCACGTGCAGCAGCGCCCCAACTCTGGCACATGGATATGCAGTGCCTAGTGGGTGCCTACCAATATGCCAACTTTCAGCGCAATCGGCCAAGTAGTTACCGATATATTGCAACAATTACAAAACTGACACCTCTTCGTTTTGCACGTGGCACGTGCATAAGGGGTCACCCACATGCATCGGGAATAGTCCAATACTTGGTAGAAGGAATGAAGCTACCCTACAAAATTTACCGCATGTAAATCGGTCAAGTGGTTGCTGAGATATAAGCCTCGCAAAAGCGTCCGCACGGCCGGCCGGCCGGCCGGCCGGCCGCTCATACTCAGAAATTTCCGTTAATCTAAGGAAAGACTACGCTCGCTTCGCTCGCTCCGTAATCATACAGATTGAAGAGTTGCCAGTCACTACCTACCACGCCACTCTGAGTGACTGCCGACCCAGCTTGGCAGCAGACAGAGACACAGGCGGTCTCCACGGCTGGTATCGGTTGCAGGATGGCCAGCGGCGGTGAGGGTTCGGCCAGCGGCGCGGCCGGCTCGGCAGGCCAGCGGCTGACCCTGGCCCAGCGGGTCGAGGTCATCCAGCAGCGCAAACGGCAGGCGGCCGCCCTGCCGCGCGCCAGGAAACTGGAGAAACTCGCCATCTACTCGGGGTGTAAGGTGAGCCACCCCCCCCTCTACTGAGCTTCACATCGAGCCGTCCTCAGTCGCTGTCCACTCTTGGCTGCTTGGTAACCCTGTAAGAGTTTAGGCCTGACGTTTGTGCCATCCCTCTCCCACTGGGCTATAGGTTGAGCCTCCTGTCGCCTATGGCCGGCCACTCTGAGCTGTGTTTAGGCTGGAGAGCCTCTACTTGAGCTGTGCGACTATTTTTAGATGTGTCAGTGCCCGGTGGACGTGGTATGATCGATCGTCGTTGCTGACTGTGCGTTGTCGAACACAGTCGACGAGCTGTCCAGCAACTCTGCTTTACAAATGCACTCGCAAGTAGAAAAAGCATTGGACTCGAGCTTGTAAAAAGCAGAACGATAACCTTAAAAGGAATGTTGGAACTGAGAAGTGCACTTACTACTATTACTATTATATACTACTTACTACTACTACAGGTCTCATTTTATTCGTCTTTTCGCCCCCATTGTTCAGCGTCACGCCCCTGTCCGAACTGTGAAACTGCGCAACCCCTCCGCCAGGGTTGGCAGGGGGTGGCAAAAACTGGTTTTTGCCAGTGGTTGTAACCGGTTTAAACCGGCTGGCAGAAACCCTGGTGGCAAGAACTGGCAAAAACTGGCTAAAACTCAGATGGCCAAACCTACAGCTTTTCTAGTTAGGAATGGATTTGAAATGTACAAATGCATTTCTGGTAGTTATATAGATGCACTAAACATTCTGAAGTTGCCTCATTACTTATCCCTGCTTAAAATGTCTATGCATGTCGGTAGACATCCACAACGGAATGTATTTCCATGTAAGGGGAGAGTGGGACAAGGCGGCCACGGTAAGTAGGGTGTCATGCGGTGCCGTGCGCATATCAATGGCAGATACCTCTTCGCACTTCTGATTGTGCAGGACTCACCCAGTCACCCTTGTGCACTGGCTCATTTGTCA